TCTTTCCCTCGTGTTCACCATACTGTTGTCTGTCTATGTATGAGGTGTTTGTTTTGTTTTTTTACTTAATCCCTTTATCTTTTACACCCAGCCCCCAACCTCCTCCCCTCTGACAACTGACAGTCTGTTTTTTTGTCTCTATCAGTCTGTTTCTTTTGTTCATTAGATTTCCACATATAAGTGAAATCATATGGACTTGTCTTTCTCTGACTGGCTTACTTCAATCTTTCTTTTTTCTTAACATTTATTCCTAATTGCATATGTTTCTCTTTTCTATGCTTCATTTTAGACCAGGGGTTGGAGAACTACTATCTGTGAACCAAATCTGTCCCACTGCCTGCTTTTGTAAGCAAAGTTCTATTAGAACACAGCCCCCCCCCCTTTGTTTATATATTGTCTGTGGTAGTGTAGTTGTGATAGATATTATGTGGCCTACAAGACTACAATATTTACTCTGGCTCTTTACAGAAGAACTATGCTGCCCCTTTATCGATAATTTCTTATCTTCCAGTTCACAAATTCTCTCTTCATCTGTGTTCATCCTACTGTTAAATGGTCCACTTTCTAAATAGCTGTCAAATGTGTCTCGTCAGCTCTTTTCCACTCTCATGGTCCTAGTTCAGACCGTAACTATTACAATGTAACCTCCCAGTTTAATGTTCCTCAGTTGAAGGTATATTTCAGAATCTTGGAGTTATGTTAAAAAATAATTATGTTTTTAAAAATCTGAGGTGAGTTGAGGAAATCTGTACTTTAAAATATTCTGGAGATGTTTCTAATATGTACCTCTAGTGAGAATCACTCTATGCCTACTTGTCTTCAGTATGTCTCTCTTAATCCCATCCTCTACTCAACATGGGACTCCGATTACTACTCTATTCTCCCACAAAAACCCTACAGTGTCTCTCAGTTGCCTACAGAATTGAACCAAGCCATTAAGCATTGTTTATGAGTCCCCCCATCCTCTGTCTTGTACGTTCTGCGCTGGTGACACTCAACTTGGTGCATTGCTTCTCACATATCAGCTTGTCTCTCCTGCCTTGATTTTTGCTCACACTATTCTCTGTGCCTGCAGTGCCTTTTTCATCCTTCTTTCAGGACCCTGCTTAATGCCAGGAAGCCTCCCCAGATCCAAAGACTGAGTTTAGTGTTCCCCCGTTATGCTCTTCTGCTTCAGCAGTTATATAAACAACTCTGTTATATTGAAAGTATAACTCCCTACTAGAGTGTGAGTTCCTCAAGGGACTTAGTTACTCATCTTTGGTAGCTCAACACAGTTCTCAGAACACAGAAGGAGTTTAGTATATATTTTTGTTGCCTAGAGCATAATACAAACATTATATATTTACTGAACTGAATTGAACTGTCTAGGTTTGTCCTTTTAACATCAGTTGCCTTCAATATCCGGGAACAAGGGCAATGATACCTCTGGGGCTCTTTAAACTCAAAATGTTTGGGTCACATTCTCCAACTAAATTCAGTTGTTTCCCAGTTGTATTAGGGAGAAGAAGAGATATAACCTGGGCGTTAAAATATAAATTCCAGGTGAAAGAGAAAACCGAATAAATTTCAGGTGAAAAGGTAGAAATGAAACAAGAATCTAGCATCTATAATTTCATGAATGGGTGTTGTGCAAAGGTTGATTCCCTTGCCTGGGTTGCTGGGATGAGGGAGGCTCATTCTACAGAGGTCTGGGTTTCTTTTCTAACCCTCAGTCATGCCTGAGTTTTGACCCAGGTCTCCCAGAGAGATAATGAATACCAAATCTTCCCTCATGGATGGGATGGCGCTGGAGAAATAACCAAGAATAACAGGCTTCTGTGTGGGTCCCAGAGAACGTAAGGAGAGAGTGGAAAATTGCTAGAGATTGCTGCTCCCTGGGATACGGAAGATGTGATGTCCCTTCCAGTATGAAGCTGGGCATCTCTTGGTTTAATATTCTTTTTCTGCCCCTGCATCTGAGATGACAAATGGGATTAATCCAGCCTTCCCCCAAACAATCCCAGTGACAAAGTTGATCGAGTCCCCAGAGTTTCACTTGGGTGGGACCAAAAAGATCAGCACTGGCCATGCCATAGCTGGCTGCTAAGTTCTTCTCCAGGGGCATCTTTCTCAGAAGTTGGGGCTGTAAGCTCATGCTGGTCCCCAGAATTCATTGCCGTGACTTTCTCTTCAGTTTACATTTAGATCCTTCTAACCGGGCTTGATTTCAGAGCTCCAATCCTTGGGATAGAACAGAATCCAAAGTCTGTTTGGTATCGTGCATCAGCAAGGACTCAATAAATGTTAATTGATAAGGTTAGTAATCATAAAAGGGAGTAAAATATGTTTCTGGCACTGCCTCAAATAACTAATCATTACCCTCTGCTAGAGAACAGAGAGACGACAAAGAGGCTGCAGAGAGAGCATCGCACTCAGGAAGCTGCAGACCGAGGCAGTCGCTGCAGAATCCCATTACCTTCGCAAGACCTGTTGCCCTTTGAGGGAGATGACGGCTGATGTCAGCTTTAAAACCATGGCAAGGTCAGTTTGCCAGTAAAGTGGCTGGAAAGGAAAGGGGAGGGGAGAAAGAACGTCCTTGGCAAAAACTGATCTGACACATTGATGAATAAGCAGAGGCTTCTGTGTACAAAGCTGCTCCCCCACACACTCTCTGTATTCCTGAAATCTGCTAGACACCCAGGCGGAAAGAATAGTCTCCCCTCTAACATGACCCATCACTTTAAATCAGTCTGCTAACTGGTAATAGTCCATGGCCATAAAATAGTGTATAGAAGTTTTGAAACGGAGAGGGTACATGTCTTGCCCAAATTACTCAGCCAGACATGGCCGTGATCTTAGGCAAGACACGTACCCTCTCTGAGTTTAGCTTTCTTATAGGTACAATACAGATAATAGCAACATTAATCAGTTATGAGAATTAATTGAGCTAATGTATGTGAAGGTGCGTTTTGCCTCCCGATGATCATGCAGTTTAGGACATTCTGTCTTTGAACAGACTCAGGAGGAAAAGAGAGTGCAGATAATGCTGCTAATGAATAAAGCTGCTTCCAACCCCTCCCCCCACAAAAACATACCAATAAATCCAGATTTATGCAGCCTAGTGTCAGGGCCTGCATTCATTAGCCAATTTAAATCATTTTATATCTTAAAAATAATTATGGCATCTGCAGTCCTGTTTTTCAACACACAAATGGTCTAAAGTAAAATGCCCTGAAGACAACCACATGCAATCATTACATTTATTTACATTCTTAATGAACGGCCCTGTTCCCAGAGCTCTGCTGGCATTCCCTGGCAGCCGGGGTTCTGCCTTGTGTTCCTTCATGGGCACAGAGGGCAGTCTGCCTCGTTTCTTGTCTGCACATGCATTTTAACATCATCGGAAGACAGAGGACATCGGAGTCGTTATCTCTTCCCAGAAGGTTTTTATTTCTTTCCCAAATTACCAACCACAAACATCTGGCTTTTTAAAAAAGATGTAAATACAATTAAATAGCTCTATGTGGTTTGTTTCTAACTGAAGAAAGCAGCACAGTTTTTGCCCTGCTTGCTTGCAATGCTTTTAGGGGCCAAAAGTAACATCCCTTCCCTGACCTTCCTGTTCTGTTCTTCATATTCAGAAAAATATGTTAGAAGAACAAGCAGAGGCCAAATATCCCTGACTTCATTCA